GTGATTTAAATAGGCTGCATAATATATCACATGGAAAACCGAGTTTAATGGCAGAGTGTTCTTTAACATTCTGTTGGCATTAAACTCTTCCCTTCCCCACCCTCATCACTTCTCTTAGGTGCATACGCTTCATTCATCATCCATTTCTTCAGCAGACATTTATACAGCACCTGCTGTGCAGAAGGCCTGTGAGAGACGGAAGTGAACGGTCGCGAGATCTGTGGGCGGGTGGACGTGCAGGCACGAGGGAGCCTGACCAGACTGGGGCGAAGTGCTGTCAGCCAGGTCAGGGTACCCAGAGGGGCCGTCCCCAGGCTGGCAGGCGGCTGTGTAGGCGGTGGAATGACTGTGTACAAAGGCCCAGAGAGAGCCTGGCGCCTCCTAGGGGCTTAATTAGGGGGAATTAAGGCAAGAAGCTGCAGATTCAGGCAGGAGCCAGATTTACAAACCCAAATTAGGGATTTTGTGCTATATCCTTAAAAATACCCTAAAGTATTTTAAGCTGCTGACATATTTTAAATAGGGAAGTAATATGAGAATGGATTTCCACTAAGGAGTCAGAGCTAAGAAGGGCTTAAGGTGCCTTTTCTGATACAGAGGCAGAGGGAGGTACATTCTCACCCCCACTCAATGTGCTTTGAAAAAAAGGTGCCAAAAAATTCTGGAAAACACTTCTTATTAGATCCCCTTCTTGGAGATTCTCTAGTCATATGGGCATATTAATGGAGTATGAAAAGCTGGTAGCCAACAAACCATTCTAATTTTCTTTCAGCCAGAGTCTTTCAAACTTTTTAATTATGGATTTTGTTTTGCTTGTAGCATTTATTAACATTCTTTGTAATTCTCAAGAGAGAGATTCTGGAAAAAATTGGCCAGTATAAGAGTTTCTGCTGAATTGAAGGAGAATCAGAACCATCTACCCAGGGAAGGAAAATATCAGCACACGTTTGTGGAGTGTATGTTGGGAGAGGGCCCTTTGTTTTATTTCGAGTATGTTGAAAGGCATTTATTTCCTTGGAAACAACTCTCATTTCCACTCACAACCCTCCCCACCCCCATAAAGATTACTATGAAAACTAATTGCAATATATTGCAATATACAAGAAGAGGGAAATATCACTGTATTCGTCCCTTATACCTGAACTCTATACTGCTTCCCAGGACTGAGTTAGCAAATCCTTCAGATATGTTTGGGTAATGTGCTGATGAGAAATCTCAGCCTTAGCTCTACTAAATCTAAAGAGTTGGCGGAGGGACACATATTGCTTTTCTGCCATATACACCGACCAGTGCTTTCTAACTAGAGCCTCTCTTTTTATAGCTTATTTAAAAATGAATGCAATGTTCTTATTTTCTTTAGGATCTAAACATTATTTGTGTTTTACAAGTGGTTTTCCTTCCCTCTGACATGTTTTTGAATATTCGTGGAGACTTTCATTTAATTTTTTATTTCAGTACAGTCAAAATTGTTTAGTCTTGTAAGTTTAGTAATTGTAAGTCTTGGAATGTAACTGCATATTACCCAAAAAGTATGTAGTTGGGAAAAAAATCCTAATTTTATGAAACATTATTTTTGGCTTGGTATGTAGCAATGCATCTTCTTTAGCCTCAATAATATGGTGTAGAAAAAAATATTTAGGATTTTAGTCAGTTCTTTGACCTTGAAAGTCCTGGAAAGAATCCCAGAGAACATTAATTTAGAGCGAAAGAAGCGAGTTGTGAAACCGGTGGTGAATCCTCAGATCAAGTAAGGCTGATTGTTCCTCCCGTCCTCTTCTTTGCTCTTTGCACATCTGCTCACTTCTGTTGAGGTTTTGCCCTCTTCCATTCTTCCTAGCAGGTTGAAGGAAGCTGGGGCACTCATCCTTCACTTTCCTATTTCCTACCTCAGCTGTTGGGGAAGAGCTTGTATAGCAATGTAACCGGACAGTAGCCTCTGTTCTTGTAAGCTTACATGATTCTAATGCAAATTTCAGGGGAGAGGAATAAAGGGACTAGTCTAAGTTTAACTACCACTAACCAGTCATGTGCCCAGCACATCATTCTAGTGAGATGGAGTTTCAGTTGTGTGACTAAACAATTTTGTGGCCTGCTTTTCGTTAATTTCCCTTTGAAATAAATTTAACAGATGCCTAACTTTGTTCTTTTAATTATCCATTTAACAAATATTTATGAAATGCCTACTATGTGCCTGGCATTGTAGAAAAGTTCTGGAGATATATAAATGAGCAAAAATGATATGGTCCTTGCCCTCATAGAGTTACTTTCTAATGAGGAGACTAAAATAATGGCAAAACAAGGGTTCTTCCACCCTGGATTCCCGCTACATTTCTTCCTTGTGATTTTAACTTTTTGTCCTGGCAAGCAGAGCTGTTGACATAAATTTTTTTGGTAAATGAAAATGTGTTAATATTAATCCAAGAATACTGTCAGACTATCCTTTTCCTTTTTTAAAGAAACAATTTCTGTAACTTCCTTATCTGGAGATTAGCATGCTTGCTTTAAATATGAAATGACATTTCATTGGTTTCTCAGTGTTTAAACACTGGGATATCAACAGATTCTAACATCAGCCTTTCGATGTTCCTTTTTCTTTGTGGATTTATCATCACACACATTAAATATTATCTGTCTTCCAGGTGATCTTTAATAAAAGGAGACTGTTCTCTTCGACGTTTGCCCTAGGCATAGAATGATGTCTTAAGTGGAAACATTACAGGATTATAAATTTAATTATCGTGTACAAAAATTACCCCATATTCTATGTATCACTGTTAATAACATTTAATTCCAAAGATTTTTATTAAAACAAGGTCCCAAACATAGACATTTAGGGGAAGAAAACTGGGCAGACAAGATTTACTTACTGTAATTCATCATAATTAGGCTCTGGATCAGGGCTCAGAAAACTCGAAGACTCTTATTTCATTGAGCATGACTGTCATTCCTGAGTAGTGGTAGGCATGTGGGTAGACATTCCTTCTCATCTACACATAAATATCGAGGTAGACTTTTGCCCAAATGTAGCTCCTTTTGCATACTTAGGAAAGGAGCCATAGATTCTCCTACTGCATTCACTGAAATGTGTTTATCAGTTATCAGAAATTCCACTTAGCATTTGCAAATCTGGCAGCTGCTGTGAAGCTGAAAGTACTGTGGGGACAGAATTTGGGAAGATGGGGAAGGGCAGGATAGATGTTGAGAAAACTTTCCATGTTCTAGGAGAATATATCGAGGGACCCAATATTTGTGTCCTTCAGAGACACACAGGAAATAAGGCCTCCATGTCTTAATTCCAATATACGCTTCCTTTCCTCCCTCCTTTCTTTCTTCCACAAGCATTAATTGAACATGTGTTGTTGTGCTGAGGATGAAGAAGTCTCCATCATCTGACCTTACTGTTTGTCTGTCTGTCATTCAGATATACCTTCATTTTACTCATGTACTCTTTTTTAGTTTATTATTTTATTTTATTTTTTGAGGAAGATTAGCCCTGAGCTAACATCTGCTGCCAATCCTCCTCTTTTTGCTGAGGAAGACTGGCCCTGAGCTAACATCCGTTCCCATCTTCCTCTACTTTATATGTGGGACGCCTGCCACAGCATGGTGTGCCAAGCGGTGCCATGTCCGAACCCGGGATCCAAACCGGCAAACCCCGGGCCACCAAAGTGGAACATGCAAACTTAACTGCTGCACCACTGGGCTGGCCCCCAGTTTATTTTTTATTGTGGTAAAATATACATAGCATAAAAGTTATCATTATAACCTGCACAGTTCAGTGGCAGTAAGTACATCCACATTGTTGTGCAGCAATCTCCAGAACTTTCATCTTCTCAGACTGAAACTCTACACCCATTAAATAATAACTTCCCATTCTCCCCTCCCCTGAGCTCCTGGAAACCACCATTCTACTTTCTGTCTCTATGAATTTGACTATTCTAGGTACCACAAATAAGTGGAATCATACAATATTTGTCCTTCTGTGTATGGCTAATTTCACTTTGCATAATGTCTTCAAGTTTCATTCATATTGTAGCATGTCTCAGAATTTCCTTCCTTTTCAAGGCTGAATAATATCCCATTGTATGTATGTATCACATTTGTTTCTGCATTCATCTGTTGATGGACATTTGAGTTGTTTCCACTTTTTGGCTATTGTGAATAATGCTGCTGTGAACATTGGTGTACAAGTATCTGTTCAGTTTCTTGCTTTCAATCTTAGGATATGTACCTAGAAGTGGAATTGCTCAATCATATAGCAATTCTATTTAACTTTTTGAGGAACCGTCATATTGTTTTCCACAGTGGCTGCACCATTTTACATTCCCGCCAACAATGTATGAGGGTTCCAATGTTCCCACATTCTCACCAACATCTGCTTTTTTTTTTTATTAAAGAACTCATCCTAATGGATATGAAGTAGTATCTCTTTGTGACTATTGATGTTGAGCATCAATGCTTTTCATGTGCTTATTGACCATTTATGTATCTTCTTTGCAGAAATGTTTATACAAGTCCTTTGCTCATTTTTAAATTGGGTTGTTTGTTTTTGTTGAGTGGCAGGAGTTTTTTAGAATGTATATATTCTGAATATTATCAGATATATGATTTGGAAATAATTTTTCCCTTCTGTATGTTGCCTTTCCACTCTGTTAATAGTGTCCTTTGATGTACGAATATTTGTACTTTTCGTGAAGTCCAATTTATCTATTTTGTCTTTTGCTACCTGTGCTTTTGGTTTCATATCCAAGAAATTATTGCCAAATAGCCACGTACTCTTAATTGATACATTGTTTTATAAATTATATACATATATTATGTACCAAGCAGAAACAAATTCAAATTTAAAAAGGATGAGACAAAGACAAAATAAGCAATTACATTATTTTCTTTATCATTGTTATTGCAAATATGTGACTGAAAAATGCTACATTGTTTTTGAAAAACTTGGTTTTAAGTTCTGGTTCTAAATTCAGTTTCTTTCCCTATTTTGTTCTCAGGTTGTCATAGTGGAAAAGATACCTCACTAAGACACATATCTCCAAATGGAAGATGTGCATTGTTTGTTGTGCCTGATGAATCGTGATGCTGGTTTTTCAATTCCACTCATCAATTATTCGAAGATTTTAGTTGAAAATCACCCACCAGATTTCCATCTTCTCTGATATCAGTCAGTTGTTTGCACAACTCTAGTCATCAAAACGTCTTGAATTTTATGTATTTTCATAAATAGGTGTCGATTCACTGAAATTCCACATGTGGATGATTTTAAAACAGGTTTGAAATATTTATTTTCAACTTTTAAAAAGTGAGCACATAAGAGAGTTGTTACAGGTGGCATACATTGTTTTCAGTTGTATGATCATATAATGATGGAAATAATTTCAGACATCTATTTTTGAAAATATTCTCCTTAGAGTATGTTTCTTTTAAGAAGCAGTTATTTCCTCACTCACTATCAAAATGGCAGCTTCACCTAATAGGAAGTGATTAAGGGTGTTTATGTCTTTGAAAATATCTTTCAAACAGTAGGGCAGCCACTTGTCACCCCAGAAAAAGACAGCAAATTTGGAGCATGGTGTTTTGTACAATAAAAATGTATAATACTTTATATTCAACAAATCATTTATGTATTTTGCCACAGATAGTCAAAAAAACCCTCTATGTCTTTCAAAAGATTACAACGGTTATTCCCCATGTCATTACAAAGTATTGTAAAAGAGTCCACTATATTTTCAGGGTCTTGTCTTCATGGAAAGGAACTACATTTTGACATCTCTAGCTCTTGGCACACTTTTGGCCTCAACTTCTTTGCCTTAACATCTTGACTGTGAATGCTGCAGTGCAGAATTTCATATGTGGAAATATCTCTGAGACTTTATCCCAGAATTTTTTTTTTTCCATTTAAAGTAGTCATTCCATTAAACATAATTTTTTCATAATTCATTGTTTTTATTAAAGAAGGTACTGTTGAAACATATCTTCTTTGGTACATGGTTTCCTTTAGGTGTTCACAAGAAAATGAGTTATGTTTGTATTGCTTTTTTGAACCAAAAGAGTGATATCATAAGCTGACTTGGTAGCAATATCTTCACTCTTTTCTATCCATACAGAAAACCTCCTGTACTGTATAATTTACTTTAATATTTGTTTCTTTACATCTTCAGCAATGTTTGCTGAGAAGCTTTCAATTAGATTTGCTGATAAATGAAGGCATTTCCGTTTGTCTCTTATAGATTTCCTTGTATTTCAAAAATTTTTACCATGAATAGGAAGAATAAGTGTTTATCCAGTCATATGAGGATTTTTGTATTTTTAATCTTTCAGCATTAAGCAAGGAGACTCAAAAAAAGGCTTCTAAACATTTCCATTAATTTTAGTGAAATTTGTGAAGCACTGGCTTGATTATTGCCCGACTGCACTCAAGACATGGTTGGTAGTTCACCAAAACTATTGGGTAGGGGCTTGCTCTCTTGGCAGAAGAAACAGCAGGTGCAGACACATGATGCTGTGAAAAAAGTAGGCAGCTCAGAGACCTGTCAGTAAGTCCGCTTGGTTTACCAAAAGATGAGTGTAAGGAACCATCAGGCGATGAGATTGAAAATGTCGGCAGGAGCCAGATCTGAGGTTTTCTTTAGGTAGAGTAAGCAATGAAATGAGACTTAGCCCAGGTTCTTTACCAAACAGAACCCGAGGCAAGGATTAAATGCTAATGCTTTCCTGGGAAGGGTAATCTCAGGGCAGTGAGACAGAGGGAAAGCGAAATGAGTCAAGGAAGGATGGGAGATAACACAAGGTCTTACATTGTGGAGCTGGCCATTGCTTCGTGAAGAAACAGCCAGTTTCTCAGCCACGTGAAACATCTTCAGATAGGCTGGACAGACACACTGTGCCTCGAAGCAGTCCATTAGAGGGTGTATGGAGAGGGAATTCGTCTGCTAACACCCTCCCTTCTCTTGTCTCTCATTGAACAAAGTCTACCCATGGAGTGTTAACTCCTTTGTACTTCTGGATTGCATCACGTGGCACCTTCTGGAGAGCCAGATTCCGTGCCTTGTGGTGTGGTGCTTCACCAGACTCTGGGAGTACGAGGAAGAGCCAGAGACTCCAGGTATCTGCTCAAGCAGCAGGACTGCAAGGGTCCACATGGACTCGGTCGTTGTGGTAGTGATTGATGCAGAACAATGGCCAAGGGCCAATTGGCAGGTAAGGCTGAGATAATCTGAGGCAGTAGATAAGATGTGCCCAATATAGATGACCAGTTGTGCTCCTCAGATCTGTTTGTGACCTTCCATCATCTGTGGCTCCCTTAATACAATATAGGGCCTCCATTGTTGTGAGAACAAGTTGCCCTCACTGCTTCTCCAAAAGGAAGGAACAAGTTAATCAGCCACCACGTCCCCTTCAGGATGGGAACTAGTTGTAATTTTCAGAAACACTTAAGGCAAACGGGTTAGTGTAACAAGCTATGATCTTTGTACTGGGGCTGGTCCTGAGGCTCTAATTGATATTTATCATCTCTCTCTTCTTTCACACATTTTATATTTCTTTTGTCCTTGGCCAACTTTTGGCTGGTCTAAGTGGCTTTCCTGATGAAGTGACCCAGAACTTCAAGTGGTCTGATCCTATATTTGCCCTGTATTTTTTAGGTCACAGCTATAATTTTAATTTTCCCATTACCCATTATTAGTGGGCACGGCAGTACTGAGAGAGACCTAGTGAATCCCCAGGGTTTCATCATTATCTTCTATGACCCTATCTTGCAGAGGGTCAACACCAACTCTTTAATTACTTCAAACGGACAATAAATCATTCCTTTGCCTGTTGGACTATTGGCATGGAAGCGCAAAGTGGTTGAGTGGTAGTCATAGGTTTAAGTTCAATGGAACTCTTATTATATACACTGGCAGAATTGTTCCTTCCCTGGGAACCAGGACCTTAGACTGTGGGGAATAAAAGCACAAATACTGTAAATGGACCCCTGTGTTCGATGGTGAGGGGACCACTTCTACTTCGCTTGTTTCCTGGACCCATATATTCTTGCTGTTTGAGGCATAGTACTATATGTCAGCTGTTGATTTGGCCCATATGTCATGTCTTGGAAGGTAGCAACCAAACCCCTTAAGATGTTGGACCCATAGCTGAACCTTCAACAAGCTGCTTATCATTCTGTTGGTCCTGCTGCTTCTAGATGGTGGGGTACCTAGTATTACCAGTGAGTCTTCTGGTGACAAGCTCATTTTTGCACCTTCTTTGCTGTAGAAAGGTCCCAGGTTGGAGCAAACATTTTGTAGAAAACATGTTGAAAGTTCAAGCATTCTGTACATGCTTTGGTGGTGATGCTGATAGAGGCACTGCAGGTGGGAAAGGCAACCCTATATTTAGTTTGTATCAATTTAGAATAGGTTAATAATTACCATCCCCTCCAATGTGGAAAAGGTCTGATATGATTGACTTGCCACTAGGTTGGTTGTTGGATGCCACCTCCAGGGATGGTGAAGTGTTGAGGCAAAGCTTCTGTCTTTGCTGCTGGTACATTGGCCACTCAGAAGTGGCTGTAGCTAGATTCGCCATGATGACAAGAAGCCTGTGTTATTAGTCCGATGCATGCTCTTCATCCCTGCTACACTAACCACTCTGTTCATGGGCCCATTGCACAAGCACTGGGCTGGTCAAGGAGACAATTCAAGGTCACGCACTACTGGGGCCATGATGTGGCAAGTGTCCATTTCCAGCCACACCAACATAGCATCTGTGAGCCAGTCCTGTCTTTTCTTCCTCTGAGAATTTGTCAGTGGAAATCCATGGATTGAAGGAGAAGCATTGATGCTGTGGAAGTAGATGGCATGGCAGTCTGGGCTAGCAGTTAATGATAGTTTACTCATAATTCTGGACCTGCTCCAGCACCATCTCAAATGTGCCACTTCCATCATGCAGTGGATTGCTGCTATGTCTGTTCAATAGTATGATCTGGTGGATCTGAGAACACGGCTGTGCTATACAGAGGCCACACTTTCTTCTGTCTGTCCCGGTGATGATCAAAGCAGAGATATTAAGGCAGATCTATTCCTAGGAGAGAGAGAGGACTCCTCTAACAGGAGATTTTAGTTTGAGGACTCCCCAGTGGCCTTGCCAAAGTTTCCTTAGAACTGCACTGCAGTCTAAGATGCTTCCATCTGAACTTTCTTTCATCCTTCTCTGCTTCAACCAGAATCAGATCTGCTGCATGTCTGATAACAACTTGGCATTTGCTTCTCAGAGGACCTGGACTAACTTGTGGTGCTTCCTCCGAGTCTGGAAGTGCTGGAGGGGAGTTACAAGTTCCAGGCCTTGCCTTCAGGCAGAAGATCTCCCTAGGCATGCATCAAGATGTTTGAAGTGCCATGGTTGAGGCAGAGGCCTGGGAGATAGGCAGGCTGAAAGATCTAAGGTGGTGTATAAGATATGTCCAGTAAAGAGAGTTTTCAACAATGGATTGAAACTGACAACTTCAGCAGATCACTCTGGCAGTAGTAAAACGAACGTACTGGAAGGGAGCAAACATAATGACAGGTAGACTGGTTAGGAGAGAATATTCAGGCAAGGGGTAATGAGTATATGAACTACAGCAATGACATTGAGAATGGAGAGAAGGGACCAGGGAAGATGGGGAAAATCCACAGGACTTAGTGACACTGAGGTTGGACACCGAAGAGAGAGAGGAGACAAAGCTGATTTCTTGGTTACTATTTAGAATAACTGAGAAGACAAGAAATACAGAAGGAAAATTTTTCTTTTTTTTTTCTAAAGCTTTCTGGTCACATTGAGTTTGAGGTGTCCGTGGAACATCCGTGTGAGCTGTGGGATGTATAGATTTGGAACTCAGGAGCTGAGGGGAAAGTTTGAATAGCAGATACAGATTTTGGAATTCTCAGCCTTGAGGAGAGGCTGTGAGCAAGAATGAAATTGCCTAGGCAGAGTTGAAGAGAGGGGGCATCAAGACGGAAGACTGGGGCTCACCCCTGTTTAATGGGAGGATCGATGAAGAGGAGCCCAGGGAGAGAGTGGAACTGAGATGCAGCAGGAGAACTGGAGTCCTAGAGGCCAAGGGAGTAAAGAACCTCAAGAAGAGAGGGAGGTATCAATGGTGTTGGGTGCACTGCAGCGGTCAGACAAGATAAGGACTGAAATATGGCCACTTTGTTGCTGTTAGTGATCTTAGCCAGAGGAATTTCTTAGCTGGATGCAGGCGGAAGCCAGGTTATAATGGGTTTGAGAATGAAAGGGAAGTATAAAAGTGAAGATGTGGAAATGCACTACTCTTTCAGTGAGTTGAGTGTGAGAAACTGAGAAACTTGTCACCAAATGGATAAGCAGAGTTCAAAGAGGACTTTCTTTGTTTTCTGTTCATTCCCTTTTTAAGACGGCGGGGACGTGGGCACATTTCTAGGCTGACGGGAAACAGCCAGCAGAAGGGGAGATGTGAAAGTTACAGAGAGAAGAGAGTGATGCAAAGGAAGGCTCATATCACAACAGTTTCTGCCTTGTTTTCGAGGGTTTCCAAATGGAGAGAAGAAGAGGAATTTCTTCTGAATGAGCTTCTTGATGTAAACAAACTGATACATGTCAGTTTACTGATACGTGTCAGGTACCAGTCCTCAGCTCCCAGAGGATCCTCTGCCTCTATGCAGATAATGACAGTGGCTGACTCAGATGGAGCATGCACAGCCTCTGCTGAGCATAAATGAACCGATCAGGTTGAAACTGCATAACTCATCCGGAAACTTCCTGCCACAATCGGATCCCATTTCCATCCAAGTCTCAGTGCAAGCATCTCAAAGAATTGGACATTTTATTAATCAGAAAAAAAGTTTATCTAAAAACTCACTATAAGGAAAGCTTTAGTCTAATCTCCCCTGTGTCACATTTCATTATGACAGATGTGTCTCATTCCGGGTTCTTATTTACGTAGCGCACAGACATATTGTCTTTACAGATAATTAGTCTTAAACGCATTAGCTTTTAAAACACTCAAGTTTTAAACTTCCCATTCATCCATCAGCATAAGGAAAAATATGCCCCTCCCCCATTAGGTTCTGTGTCTGATTTTATTTCTGCTCAAGCTCTTTGTCTTTCTCATGTTTTCCAGTGGAGGGAGAGCACCGAGGGGCTCAGATGAAGCTTTTGCTCCAGCGTTCGAAAACTGCTGACATTCCTTTCTGTGAAGATAATTGAATCATCAAATTTGATGAAAGGTTCCTGAAATATCAGGAAACAGATTTTCTATGGAGTCCATGAATACAACTATTAACAAAACGAATTTTAAAGTCAAAGGGAAATATCTTGTTTTTTTTTTTTCAGCTTGGCTGTTTCTTCACTGAGAAGCATTTAAAAAATAAATGATTGCATATTGACAAAAAAACATAATACGTAGGGGTCTTTCTGTAAAAGAATACATTACAATATGAAAATCTAAGTAACATAAACTTACCTTGAACATTGTCTATGAGATTTTGTTTAACAAATATACATTGTAAGGGTCTCAGTCATTCCATTTTTATAATATGTCTTTGGTGATGCTCTTTTGCTAAGGCTTTAAGGAATTGCAATTACAGTAAAATGCTCTACTATTTTACTGGAAAGTTCTTTCCCAATTCTGGGATTGGAAATGTGTATAGGTCATTGAATTTTTGTTGGATAAGTTGTTGAATTGAATTAAATTTCTGCAGATGTACTCATTTACAGGTACTCCTATTCAAAAATTTTTCGTCCTATGAAGACACTGTTAGGAATATTAATGAATAGGGATCTACATTAAAAGCTACAGGAAGAGAAAAATGAAAATGTTTAAAACACATGTTATTGGAGTTACAGATGAAGAATATGTAGGAAGGGTAATATTTGATGAGATAATGGGTGATGATTTCCCACAATTATTGAAAGACATGAATCTTCAGATGTAAGAATAATAAAAATTCCCGAGCACAATAAATAAGTCAGTCTACAGCTAGACATATCATAGTGTCTTGAAGATCTTAAAAGTAGGAAGAGATAAAAAGAAAGTTGCCTATACATGAATTACTCTTGAGAAACTTCTCAACTTCTAATGAGCCCCAGAATCACCTGGAAAGTTAGTAAACAAATTTGTAGATGTGGCCCTACCACTTCAAGGTTCTGATTCAATTGATGTAGGGTGGTGTCTGAGATCTACATCTCTAACAAGCTCCTTAGCCCACACTTTTGGGTGGCACTATTTATTAGTGTGAGAGCTGACTTCTCAACATCAGCAATGGAGGCCTTAAGATGGAGAATAATGTTTCCAAAATGCTGAAAGAAGAGAATTGTCTATCTGGTAATATATATCTGGTTAAAATTGCATTCTAGAATAAGGGCAAAATAAAGACGTTTTCAGGGGCCAGCCCTGTTGCTGAGTAGTTAAGTTCATGTGCTCCGCTTCAGAAGCCCAGGGTTTTGCCAGTTCAGATCTTGGGTGCGGACATGGCACCACTCATCAGGCCATGCTGAGGGTGCATCCCACATAGCACAACTAGAAGGACCTACAACTAGAATATACAGCTATGTACTGGGGGTCTCTGGGGAGAAGAAGAAGAAGAAAAAAAGAAGATTGGCAACAGATGTTAGCTCAGGTGCCAATCTTTAAAAAGAAAAAGGCATTTTCAACAAACAAATATTGAGAGTTCTTTATCAACAGACCCTCAGTAAGGGAGCTTCTGAGGGACTTACTTTAGTACTGTAGGAGGAAGAAAAAAGAAACCAAAGATATGTCTGAGATGCAAGTAGGAATGATGAGCAGAGGTTAACATATGGGTAAATCTAAAATGTTGAGTCTATGACAAAAATATTTAATTTTGCAGGTGAAAAATTAAGATAGCATAAGAAATGGGGTAAGAATATCTGAAAAGTTGAGTGGTTTTAGTTAAAGCTTTCTAAGATCTTTTACAGTGGTCCCCCCTTATCCATGGTTTTCTTTTCTGCAATTTCAGTTACCCACAGTCTACTGTGGTTCAAAAATATTAAATGAAACATTCCAGAAATAAACAATTCCTAAGTTTTAAATTTTGTGCCATTCTGAAGCGTGTGATGAAATCTCTCCCATCCTGCTCTGTCCTGCCTGGGACAGGAACCAGGCCTTTGACCAGCATGTCCACATCTTATTCACACTGTACATACAGTACAATGAGATATTTTGAGAGAAAGACTACATTCAAATAACTTTTATTATAGTATATTGTTCTATTTTATTATTAGTTTTATTGTTGTTAACCTCTTACTGTGCTGAATTTGTAAATTTAACTTTATCATAGGCATGTGTGCCTTGGGAAAACTGTAGCATATATAGAGCTCAGTACTATCTGTGGTTTCAGGCAGATCTTGGAATGTATCCCTTATGGATAAAGGGGGACTACTCTACTTAAAAAAAAAAGTGGAGGGGCTGGCCTGGTGGTATAGTGGTTAAGTTTGTATGCACTGCTTCAGCAGCTGGGGCTCACTGGTTCAGATCCCAGGTGCAGATCTACACTGCTCATCAAGCCATGCTGTGGCAGCATCCCATATACAAAATGGAGGAGGATTGGCATAGATGTTAGCTCAGTGACAATCTCCCTCAAGCAAAAAGAGAGGAAGATTGGCAACAGGTGTTTGCTCAGGGCCAATTTTCTTCACCAAAAAAAAAAAAAAAATTAGGAATATAGACACTGGGATCCATCTCCAGAGATTTGGATTCAACTGGGCTGGAGTGGGGCCTCGTCAATAAGTGTGTTTTGAATAGCTTTTTAGGTGATGCTGATGGAAATCCAGAGTAGAGACTATAGCTCTAAAGAGTAGGAAAAAAAATAGAATCAATCAAAAGACAAAAAGGAAGGGAGAGAAAAAGCATAATAATAGCAGGACATACAGAAAACACAAAATAGAACAATAGAAATATTTTTAAGTATATTGCAGTAACAATAGATATAAATGGACCAAACTTGCCAGTTAAAGGAGAGTGTCAAATTAGATTGCAAAATAAATCAGGTTTCTCACTAGAGGCTGCATCTGGGATGGACTCTGCAGGGCTAGATGGTAGCGGCCATGGTGAGAAGAACAGCCCCGACTCCTGCAGGGGGCCTGTCATTGGGGACCAGCTGTTACTTTGCTCACAATAGAAAGGTGTTCCAGGTCTGCATATCCTTCCAGAAAGACTTCTGCTTCCATGGAGATTGATGAAGCTATAAGCACCCACAGCTCCTGGTCACCTGGAGTGGAGCCCCCACCATTTGGAGTCACTTGTCGCCCTGCCAGGGCCCCACTTGGGGCTGACCCATGAGGGCTTGGCACTTACTTACCTGCCGTCTGCGGCTATGGGTTAGAGCTGGGCTGGGGCCTGCCAGGGCATGGAGCCTGGCCTGGAGGAGCTGGCCAGCAAGGGCGAGGAGGTTGGTGGCAGTTCCTGGAAGTCCCTGTCTCCATCATCTGCTGACGCTGATCACAGCTATTTCCAGGAGTCTCAGCCTAAGTCAGATCCTGCTCAGCAGCTCATGGCCCACCTTGAGAGCTTGGACCTTGGTGGGGAGCAGGACAGTTGGGAGATCATATGTGGCATCTACATGGACAAGGTAAGGGACAAGCCAGAGGCCAAGAGGATCTTCAGCATCCTGTCCAACTGCACCCATGCCCACTGCCTGGGCTGCCTGTGCACCTGGCAGAAGAGCCCACAGGACTTCCTGCTGGATGTCATGAAGGTCTGTCCCCAGTGCCGCATCCATTCCACTACATCATCCCTCACAAACTCCAGGTGAGCAAGGGGCCTGAGGAGTATCTCATCAAGAACTTCAAGGCTCAGACTAGCTAGATTCAATGCCAATTCTTCTGCAGGGGAGTGGCCGCTGTCCCTTCAAGTCTGACTGTGTGTACCTGCACCAGCTCTCAGCTAAGCCTCTGAGCTCCGGTTCTGCCTTGCCTGCGAGCGTGCAGCTGGCCTTCGCGGGTGAGGTGCTGGGCCCAGCAGTGTTATTAGGGGGTGCTGAGCAGGAGGACAAAGTGTTCTTCACAGACTGTGCCCTGGCCATGGCCTTCTGGGGTTCAGAACTCCTACTGGATCCCAACAGAACTTATCACAGCCTCTTGTAACCAGGCTCCATGTGTCGGGGAGAGGGCTGAGGGACAGGGGTTGCTGCATGCCTTTTGGGGCCTGGTGGGGGATGAAAGTAGCAAGCCCTCTACCCCCATGAAATGCAGCAGTGACACAGCTAGGGGACATGAAGAGAGGAGGAGGGCTCTCAAGAAAGAGGAAGGGTTCTCACCCTCTTTCCAGGGCCTTGGTTTTTAACTTTTCTCTTTTGTAGAAGGATTGTGAAAGAAAACAAATAAAATGCATGGAAGCCATCAAAATAAACAAATAGATAAATAAATAAATAAATGGGTTTTATGCTGTTTATCAGAGGCACATCTGGAAAAACAGGAACACAGATGATAAAAGAATGGAAAAACATACTAAGTATATTAGTTTCGTAGGGCTGCTGTAACAAATTACCACAAACAAAGTGACTTAAAACAACAGAAATTTATTGTCTCACAGTTCTGGGGGCCAGAATTCCAAAATCAAATGCGGGCAGGAGTGGTTCCTTCTGGAGGCTTCGAGAGGGAGTCTGTTCCATGCCCCTCTCCTAGCTTCTGGCAACTGCCAGCAATTCTTGGCATTCCTCAGCTTGTAGAGGCAACTCTCCAGTCTCTGCCTCCAGTTTCACGTTGTCTTCCTCTGGGTCTCTGTGTCCAACCTCCCTCTCCTTCCTCTTCTACTCTAAACCAGGATGATCTCCTCCTGAGATCCTTAACTTAACTATGGTGGCAGAGACCATATTTCCAAATCAGGTCACAGTTACAAGCACTAGGGATTAGGGCTTGGACATATCTTTTGGGGGAACACTATTCAATCAGCTAAAGTCCATTCTCTGGTCCCCTAAAGTTCATCTCTATTCCATGTGCAAAATATATTCATCCTATACCAACATCCCCTCAAGTCTTAACTCATCCCTGCATCAACGCTAAATCCCAAATCTCATCTAAATATCAACTCAAAAAGTCCAAAATCTCATCATCTAAATTATCCAAATCAGGTATGGGTAAGACTCAGGATACGATCCATCATAAGTCAAAATTTCTGTCTATCTGTTGACCTATGAACTAGAAAACATACTATCTGCTTCTAAAACACAGTGGTGGGACAGACATAGGCTATTTCCCCAATTTAAGTGGAGAAATTGGAAGGAATAAAGAGGTTACTGGTCCCAAGAAAGTTCAAAACCCAAGAGGGCAATTTCCATTAGGTTTCAAGGCCTGAGAATATTCTTTGTGGCTCAAGGTTCCACCTTCTGGGCCCACAGAGTTTCTGTGGGTCCCTGCTTCTCTGGTTTCTGTGTCTTTATTTGCAGATCTGCCCTTGGAGTCATTCTTTTTTTCTTAAGTAGTAGCACATGTTTGTAGCTGTGTAGCTACTTTTCCTGTTTGTAGAATTTTGGGAGTCTGACAACCTTCTTTCATTTCATCCAGTCTCTTTCCCTCTTAGTTGGCAATACTTCTGCTAGTATAACAGTCTTAAAAATCATGTGGACCTTTGGTGTATGTCATGAGGAGTCACACTATTAGACAAGAAGGTGCACTAGAGATCTTTCCTGGGTAATCCCATCTCTAGTCCTGGCTTCTGTTGAGATGGTTGAGTGGATCCATAAATCACATGTCTACTCTCTTCAGCAAAAGATTGTCTGTCCACCCATTGGCCCCCCTCACCACACTTGCATTCAACTGATAACATGTCTTTATAATACAGAAAACAAAAACTTGACAGAATTACCAAGAGATATGAACCAATCTGCCCTTAGAGTGGGGGATCTTAACATACTTCTTACAATAATTTATAGATAAATCAGAAAAAAGTCATAAAGATAAAGAATATCTTAACAAAATTAACAAGCCAGATTTAATAAATAGATATGAACTCCTGAACACAACAGTTAAAAGACATTTTTTTTTTCTTAAATGGAACAGGGATGAATATTGACCACATAATCAAAATATGTGAAATTTAAATGAAATTGAG